CATTTTTTAAATAATTAATCACAAGTCATAGTTGAAACTTTTTTTTTTCGTTCGACAGAACCTTGAATAATTCTTCTAGTAAAAGACAACAATGTTTCAATATCAATTTGATATTTGTTAATTTTCGATTATTTAGCTATTTGCTTGATAAGACTGTAGCATGTCGGCGATGTCCATGACGGTGAGAGCAGCAGCTGTCATTTGGTAGTAAATTTCAAAACTGCATGAATTTTTATAGAACTGTTATGTCTACGACTATAATCCTGTAAAACTCGATGAATCTGATGGATTACTAACAAGGGTAATGATGTAGTATCTTGATGACAATAGTTTTTGAAAAATTCTTTGAAACTTAGTCACGGAGGCAGATTTTCAGCTGCGATGTACATCTCTGATATATGCATAGACCGAGCCTATATAGAATAAGAAGATTTGAATTTGATTTCGAATAAAATGAATCATTATATGTAACATTCTTAAATAATGAATAAAATAATATATTCAATATTGATTTGAAAATCTATGTAAAGAAAAGAATAGAAAATTTTGATTTAGAAATAGATCCTATTGAATTAAATACTTTAATGAATAGAAATTCAAATTATACAATAAAATCAAATGACTCGACCGATACAAATCAATTTGCAGAGAAACGAAAACAAAGTAATACTATGATCAGAATGAGAAAAATATCGATTAAAAAAATTCATAGAGATCAACAAGTTTTATAGCATAAATTCAAAAATGAATGAATATAGAGTCACATATGGAGATAGCGACATTGAAGAAGAATGTGCTTTTTTTATTTCGTTTTTGTTATCTCATTTTTTTTATCTATATTTGCTTCTTACCAGTCGATCCTTTGAGCATGGATTTTTATTGTCCCACATCATTTTTCATGCAATTTCGAACGAAATTTTTTTCATTATAGCCTTAGAAATCATTGCTTGTTTTCTGACTGTTCTGGATAAACAATCATTTAGAAACAACTAACAATAACAAAGATTTATAACTTCTGATGCTTTCATAATCTTGATATAACATCAGAAAACATAATCACAAACAAATGAGAAGTCATTTTTCAAGTAACTTATTCCAATTACTTTTTTGTTCTATTATCATGTCATTTAAATTCTGAATGTATGGAATCCTATGATAATTATCAGTCATTAAAAGAGCGCGATGTAGATTTCATAGCGAAATCAGTCTTATTTGAAAATTATCAAAAAACTCCCAATGGCCGCATTTTGTTAAAAAGCTAATTTAATCTAAGATCGAACTATAAAATTGTTTTAATTACACTGCTGTTTTTGGGTGTGGATAAAGTTCAAGGCAAAATGAAGTCGTTTCACAAGTCACAATCCCAAACACCCTATGCCTACATTCACACTCACTCTCACACCGTCGATCTTCAAATTGCCACGAGATTTTTAACGTAAGTTTAAATGACAGTGAGAAGAATATTTTTTAGTCGAACTATTCTGTTTAAAAATAAAGTGAAGTTCGTGAGACGAAAACTATTTTCAGACGTTTCTTTCTCATAAACAGAAAAATGTTCACAGATATTAACTGAGTACAGTCGATCTTGGTTTGCATAGAGAACCTCTTGAAACTCGTTCAGCATATCAAAATCGATCATTTTTTTAGTGATTAACAGCACCAGATGTCGATAAACAATTACGATCAAGATAGAAAGACAAAAGTAGAAATGGATCAGTCAGCAAAAACATCTGATGTAAGGTGCTAGAATATTTATTTATATTCATATGTCCCTGCGATTAAAATAAACGGAACTCACCGGGCCTCGATATGGGCCGCTCAGCCCAATAAGCTCCTACCTCGGACTGGACGGGTCAGTTTTTTTAGGCTAGTCCAGCTCGATGTTTTTTATGCCTTTCATAAGTAACAAAAATTATTAAAAAAAGTTCTGTGATAGAAAAACTATGCTGATTTTTCAATCCGAGCAATATAATAAACCATAGTAATTGCTTGAAATGATCGTATGTCATGTCCTCACGTAGTGTTCTCTCGTGTAATAACTACATTAATTAGTGTAAGAATGTGATTGACAGAAAAAATATGTTGACAAGAAACTACTTTCTAGAAGCAGAGAAATCCTATGAATTTTGTGTCATTGTTTGAGATAAAGCTTTTTCTTGATTTTGACCATCTAGTGAGATAGCACGCAGTCGAGAGTAGCTTGTATGTGGAAAGACCATGAATAAGTGATCCGTTTCGAGGCCTTCCACATACTTTGTTCATGCAGGCACACTCGGTCATAATACTAGTAATGTATATCAAACATCTATTGCTCTTCTTGTGGATTAGATGAAACTATTATTTTTCTTTGATACGTTCAAATATCTGTTTTTAGATATGTGAAGATCGTATATTAAAATCAAAATGATTTGTAGCTCATAAGAAAAGTTCAAAAAACGTATAGTGAGAGAACAATATAAAGCAAAGTCATCATAATGTTTGTCAGTTGTTCACTGGAACTATTCGTATTGATCATCGGTCTGTTTTCAATGCTCTTGTAATCGGTATTATTGTAGCAACTGCTATTTGTGTTCCTCGTTGTCGTCTATCACAGAACATCCGTCTCCATTTATTCAACCAATATTCTTTAGGAAGTGAAAGAATCATAATAAATGGTAAGAATAAAATTGAAAATAGACGTAAAAAGAGTAGACAAAATTGTACTTTAGGATCTATATTTACTGATAAATTTCGAAAATATAGAATTAAATAAAAGATTAGAAGTGGTGTTGATAAACTTGAAGTAAATATTGAAACTAATAATAGTTGTATAACCATTTTACGATGTTTTCGTCATTGAATTGGTTGATGAAGACGAATATGTTTATACCATAAGACTCGTATGATAAGTGCAACATCAGATAGAAAAGTAACAGTTGTACAAGACAACCAATTTGTCGATATATCATATCGAACAAGATATACATTATTGTAACAGAAAGGAGAATAGTTACACCATGCTTTTGTATAATCGTAAGAAGGCAGATAATCACAAGTAACTAAGACTAAAATCAGTAGATAGAATAACAGCCGATAGACAATAAAAAAGATCAATGGGAGATAATGAAGAGGCCACCGTTTCTTTGAAGTTAATAGCCAATTTTCATGAAAAATAAGTATATGTCGTTCTAGCGATGTTTACATAACGAGAAAGACAGTTACTGCAAAAGCTTCTGTATCAACACACCACCAAAAACGACAAAAAATTGGTGTTTGAAACCAAATATAACCTAGACGAAGATAAGTGATAAAGAATAGAATATCAATCACTTGACTACTAAGTCCAGTAAAAAGAATAGCAATAATCGAATGATTATTTAATGCTATACGTAAAATTCGTTTCGTCAATAGATGAAAAAGTTGAAAGAGAGAACATGCAAGTGATATAATATTGAAAGGAAGCAATATCCAAAATCGAACTTCACGAGGAATATAAATATTTGTATAATCATATGATATTGTACCACTTTCATTTGAAACCATTGTATGTAATTTTCTAGTTTCCGAAAGAGATGAAACAAGGGTGTGGGTGTGGGTGCATAGATAGAACGAAAGAGAACAACTACACCCACACCCACCCACACCCACACCCACACCCGCACCCCACACCCACACCCCACAACTACACCCGCCCACACCCACACCCCACACTCACACCCAAAAAGACTATCAATAGCAAAAAAAAACAGAACTTCTGCACATACACTAAAACCATACATTCAAAAGATA